AAGGGAGGAAAAGGAAAGGGTGGGAAAAGGGGAAGGGCAACCGGCTCTCTCACTCACCGGACGAAACGCAGTCTTGTAAAGACTACTTTACGCCGATTTTCTGCGAGAGGGTGGTACTTCCCCGGTCGAGCCAGCCCATGTTCGAGCTGTAGTAACTGACCACAGTCAGGCTCTACCACCTCAGGCTAGGCTCTACCACCTCAGAAATATATTTAATAAATATTTAATGTGGTTTCATGATGTAATGGAATATTTTAACTTTGTAAGTTACTTACAAATGTAATTAATATAGTAAATAATATAAACAGATAAAATCAAAACAGTAATACCCTATTGGTCACCTTTTGGGAACATTATTATTTAAACATTCTAATACTTCCAATAGACCTGCAATAGTGCTTTTTTATAATTTCTCAAAATTGAAAAAGAATTCGAAAAGTAAATCTATGTATATAAATATGTATTAGTTTATGAAAGTGTAATTTGCAAATTTTTACATATAAAACTCATTGAGATATTTAAAATAATATTTGATCATAAGTTATGTAAGGTAAAGAAAACTCTTCAGTTCTTCACTGTGAAACCACATACTCTTCACTTTGTTTGTATTTTGCATATTTCAACCAGGTAAAGAAGGGAAAAGTGTTTCGCTCTTACTTGTATACATATATTTGTTTCTGCCACATAAATAATATTATTATGGTCATCTATTAAACTGAGCTTACAAGTAAGTAAGTAAGTACGGTACACGTACTTACAGTTTGAGTTTGTTGAGGTTGTGGTAATGGCGTAATACAATAGCAAATTGTTGGAAATATGTATGTTATATCAAAAATATGCTTAAACTTAACGAAGCTTTAAATAATTATCTTTCTAAATTGGTTTGTAGTGCGGTAAAATATGTGGGTTTACACTGCTTATATAAAATTAATAATATATATTTATAAAAGGAAATAATATAAAGTATGTAATATTTAAAAATGTTACCTCGTATGCATATAAAAATTTGGCAGAATAATTAACAATGGAAACTATTATTTTAACATAAGTATATAAAAAATGAATATATGTAGCTTACAATTTTTTTAAGGGATTGAAAATAACAAGATGAACGTAAACGTATTATCCATAAATTTTAAAGTTCTTTACCCGCAAGCAAGTTTGCTAAAGGAGAAAGACAGTAGAATAGTAAATTTATTTTGAGGATTTCTCTTTTAATTTCAAATAAAATTGGAGAGTAAGACTTCAATTTATTAAATGAATGCTTATAATGACCACAAAAGTTAAAAAGAAAACGATTGATTTTATAGTTAATTATTACGTATTGTTTATATATTTTTCATTTATTTGAACCAAATTATCGATGAAACATCTCACTGATGATTTTTCCGGAACAAGGTATTTTCTCAACTACTTTATAGCTAGAAGATTAGTTTGATTTTATGTTCAACATCCCTTGTGGAACATCTCCAGAATGGTTTGGGGGGCTGGGGGCTCCAGGGGGCACCAAGAAGAACGTTTTCTAGTAAGCTGTCTTTTTGTATACTTTCATTTTTCTAAATAAAAGTTTTGTTTAGATGATATAATATATATATATATATATATATATATATATATATATATTATAATTTACACTAATTATTTTGTTTATAAAATGAAAACAAATAGTGCAGGAACAAATTCAACTGTGTCATCCATTACATCTTTATCTAACCACTAACAGTTAGAGCAAGACAGTAAAACTTGGTATCTCATATTTCTTCGCTTTAATCTGGATTTATTAAGAGTAAAATATTTATAGCTAAAGGATTAATAATGAGATTACTTAAAACCTTTTTGTTGAAGACTTATTTTCTATAAAGTGGCTTAATATCAATATCTCCCGGTATAAAAATGCAAACATTGAATTATAAAATACGTAATTCAATAAATAAAAGTCTTAGAACAAAAAAGTGAAAAAAAAAGAAAAACGAAGTTAAATAGAATTATTCCTTGGCGGTCCGATAATATTCTTGTTTCGATTAAATAGTTTGGTATACCACTCACGAATGTCATAAATACAGATTTTACAATATATTGCATATATGCCATATTATTATATTAACAAACACTCTTACATTCTTCAGCAAAGGGACACAGAACTAAAAACGTTAAAGACATCATTGTACTCCTTCCTTTTAAAATTACGCTCATTTAAACGGGCTTGTAGTAAATTATTTAAGCCAAAAATTGTGTTCGATTCTCCTACTATAATTTAATCATTCATCAGGTATTTATGCAATTATTACGTTGATTCTATCTCAAATTCTTTGTTGCGTACAAAATAAAGGCAAGAACTGTCGAAACAATAGATAGTTTTAGAAATGTTTGTACTAAATACGTACTGTAAACTTTAGTGTTAAATTAATTACCAGTCTTTTGTTAATATTGATTGGGTAGTACTCGACTTTCATTCCAGAATTCATAAAGACACTATCCCAGTAAAAGTCAATTACTCTAACCTTGAAGAAACCCAAAATATATATTTTTGCATTATATTAACAAGGAAATATTGATTGAAAGCGTAATTGAATACAAATTCTACTGAGAACTTATTATCACATTGGAAATATATACAGAACAATTCTTGGGACTATTAATCGAACTGTTAACAATGTTGACACCAATTCCCTAGGAAAACATTATTGGCTAATTCTAAAATATACATTCTCGTGTACGATCTTAATGTAATTTGGGGAAGTTTTCCTTCTCATGTAGAGTTGAAAACGTGACGATCATTCACGCCTCCTTCATACGACTTCAATTTTTCGTTTGGTACAATAGAGCCATTTTTGAATTTATTTAATTTTAAACATATCATTTACAAACATCAATATTTATTAAAAAAATATATATCAAGCTCTTTATCGAATTATTTTTTTAAAAAATCAAACATATTTATGCTGAATAAACATAATGAAAGTATAAAATATTATATTTCATTTAATATAAAATATTACATTACAGACTACCTATTTTTAATTGGCCTGTAGTATATAAACATTGATTTTGAACTGCAAAACACATACATGTCTGCAACGAAATGTTTAATTAATTATAGAATTCTCAGCTGAATGCAAAATCTTATCGAGGCATTTAATTCTCAAGATTCCTAATTTTCAAGATTCTTAATTAAGTCATTATAAAAATATGCTAAAACATATGTAACAAAAATAAAGAGGAGCTGTATTGACAAAGGGGTGAGTTGAATTCGGGAGAAGTGTGGAGTGGCGTGATGTATCGAGGAGGGGAGAGGTTTATTGAGGAGAGGAGAGAGGAGGAGATATTATTTAAAGAGCATTTTTGGATGTAATTATTATTCATTACTTTGTGGAAATTGAAAAAAAAAACAGGTGATTTACGAAGAAGTCGTACTGTTTTAATTATTTTCTATAAAAGTCAGTTGTGTTTCGTTATTAAAGTAATACATAATATAACAGCTGGGGTTTATTATTTATAACTTGAAAAATAAGATGTTTAAAACGATTGATAAATTAATTTGAAAACTATTACTCAGTTAGAGGCACTACATTGTTTTTAATAAACATGATGTCAACATAACTGCCGCCACCAATGCCTTTTTTCTTAGGCAGGCTATTGAAGTTAACCTCGTAGACTGTTTGTAGAATCCCTTATTTAGAAGAAGTCCGATCCTGGAAACTTGAATTGAATAAGTAGTAGTTATTGAATTATTTATTGAATCAAAAAATGTTATCAGAAGTATTTATTAAGTAAATTAAAAAGATATTATTTTTTTTTGTCACAAATCATTTTCTTGAAAATGGTTTTACTAGATAATAGTTTACTTAATTTGCAAATATATACTAACTCTTGCTTGTGTCTGAAGTTAACGTTTATTAGGAGAACGCTTCATTTTGTGTAAGCAGGATATTTTCAATGAATCTATACCCATTCGCTTGTTTGGGAGTCCACAAATAAAAAAAGACCAGATATACTGGTATATAAATGATAAAGCAATTTAAGAAATGGAAGAACTTTCAGTAAAAAAAGGTTTTTGTCAACAACATATTTTTTCGGTGCTGAATATTTTTTATTTTAATAGTTATTACTTATTAGTAATTCGTCTTATATTTCACAATTCTTGTTTCATCTATTTTTTTGTTATTTGATTCTAGTTTAAAAATTAATTATAAAAGTACCTATAACGAAGATATTAATAGATTTATAAGACGCAGCATTCAAAGACTTTTTAAGGAAGCTGTAAAAGTTACTGACAAAACTCTATCAACGAAGTTCATTTCCAACCATTTTCCGACAATGCATTAAGCATTAAAACATCACTCGACTGCAATTGACTGCGAAGCGTACGTGTAAACCTAAATGAGTAATATTTTGATAGAAAATAGCTCCTATCCTCTTCGAGTGCACTCAAGTATTTACCGAGCTCATTAACCCCTTTAACGCCAGTGTTTTGACCACAATGAACAGAACTGTTTTCTACCTAAAATATACCTTATATAAATTTTACCTTTTATACTAAAATTGTTTATATTTACAAATAATACCAGGGAATGTTTATGGTATAAAAAGATTTTATAACAGATATGTATTTTTGGGCATTAATTTTTTTTATCAAATTATTCTCAATTATGTTGATCTACGTGAACCAACAAATATTTCTGTAGGTAAATAATCATTAAACAGTAATCAATTGATAGGGCTATTAAGTTTTTAGCGATTAGTTCCAACTATTATTTTTGTACAGAAAGATATATTATTTTTATAAAGAAAGAAAGAATTTAAGGCTTATTAAGGTTATTATTGCTGAGAATATTAAAATAATAAATTTTAAATGTAATAATGTGTTGAGTGTATACTAAGACGAAACTACTAAGCATTCCATGGATTCACCGTGCGGGTGCCGGGTCCATCGCGTTGCAGGGAGAGGAGCTTCAACAGTGCCTGGGACTTGCGACCCAAGTGTAGGTATAAGGGGCCCCTTAACTAACGCGCGTTATACGCTCACCTCCACTGTCCAAGCTCCTCTCCCTACCTAACCAAATTTGAAAAGAACCTACTAGGGCTGCCTTCGATATACGTTCCAAGAATGCATTAATGTGAGTTCTGGACAAGCCCAAGTCCTTTAGTAGGTTGTAGAGAGATTTCGCTGTTATACCTCTCGCTCCCACCTCTACCGCGTACAAATCTACTACGAACCTATTTCGAGTGAGTTCGTTTGTGAGCTCGTAATATTTGTTGACCTTGATGGTATGGTCTTTGGGGATGTTGGTTTCCCAAGGGACCGTAAGCTCTATCATCACTACGCGCTTTAGAATTCGCGAAAACAAAAATATATCCGGTCTGGAGACCGACGCACAAATATCCTCGGGGATTTTATATTGCTTTTCATACGTGTCCATCATTATAGTCCAATCCGACGCCGCTTTAAGGATGGAGTAAGGCTTGACGTTTGATTTTGTAGCCCTAGTGCCTTCTCTCACAAAACCTATTGATCGTTCGTTTGTGGTTATTTCCTTTTGCGCTCTGGCTACCGAAAGACTAACCGCTTCACGTATGACTTCTAGAACCCTATCGTGACGACGCGAGTATTGACCGCTGTCCAGGAGTACCTTACATCCCACCAGCAGATGCTTAGCAGTTCCAACTGCCTTTCCACAGATATAGCAAGTTTTTTCGGTACTTTTACCCCATCTTACTAAATTACTCTGATCTGGGAGAGTCATCTGGAACGCATTGAGATAGAATTTTAGCAATGCTGGCGACCAATCATAAATTAAAGTGCGCCATTTTAATGCTAATGGGATGCAAAAATCTCCTATGTCTAACCACTCGTTCTGCATTTCTAAATTCATTGCATGGATCTTATATTTTTACTTATAAAACAATGAATAACTGTATGTTATAATTTATATATATAAAAATGAATTGCTGTTCTTTAGTCTCACTAAAACTCGAGAACAGTTGAACGGATTTATCTTACCTTAGTCTTGAAATGTTCGTGAAGGTTCAGGGAAGGTATAAAAGCTGAAAAAAATTGATTCATTACTGGGTGTATGGGTTTGAACACACACCACACACACCTTTTAGATATGATAGTTTTATGGAGACCAGCAAGTTTGTGAGTATCGCGTCTAGGTAATGAGAACGACCTGTTTATTTGAACGCTTTATTGATACTGACTAAATTATGACAATGCTTACATTTATATTTGCTTATGAATGCGTACGTACAATTAAATTATGTTAATGTATGGGTAAACCCATACATACTCCCGACAGGAAGAAATACAAGGAAAAAAATATAAATGCTATGAAGGTATACAAATTATGGTATAAAATAAGATAGTACAAGTAATATTTAAGAAAACCAAACAACTTATATAAAATGAAGATAAAATGAGACAATATTGATAATAATTAAAACTTTACAAGCTTAAAGTGTCTATCATTATGCTTGCATTATTTGACCTATTGCACTTGGTACACATCGGCGATGTTGCCTTGTTCACATAACGCGCACTACGGAATTCACTGCACCTTTCACTATAGCTCGACGCCTTCGGTGGCGCCTCTGAAGGCACTGCCAACCCAGCTCGCTCAATCTTCGCCGTCTGCGCCGCAGGCCCAGGCTGGGTTGGCCTACGAAGACGCCTCCAGCCGAATAACAGCGTAGCAATTACTATTATGCTGTCGCAAATATATATAGCAGTATAATGATGTACGTCATGAAACGTTATTCTGTCGAGTAAAGGTTCAGTTTTCTTCATGACTTCCAATTTGTTTTCAATGCTCTTAATTTGCGTTTGAATCTCAGAAGAATTGGATAATGTTAGGGTTGGTATTGATATATTCATAATATGATTTATTGATGCTATCACCGGTACAAATATCTGTTCGTCTAAGTGCATTTCGCTTGATTTTATGTTATGTGTTAATAACGTAAAATATTCTGACTTAATAGTACAATCTCTGTCTAATGTAAATATGCCAGCGCGCGTAAACTTATGAGTCGTAATTTGATCACCACATATAGATCTCAGCTGACATTCGTTACAACAATATATGTGTTTGGAGAATAACTCTCAATCCAATGATCTTTGCATGTGGTTATAGATACTTTGCATTCTGATGTTTCAATTTGGCAAAATTCCTTGTCACTCTTTATGTTGTAGATTGGGCTACTTATGTGACATAAATAATTATCAAAATTTATGCATGAATTGATAATGCTCTGAGATAAAGTTATATAAGTATCCCCTTTTAAGTTGATTGCTATATAATTCGATAACGGTATAATGCTAATCATATTATTTTCCTTTCTATTAGGTATTGGAATAATACGAAATATTTCATATGTGTCTCTAATTACCAATGGTATTCTTATCTCTATTATTAAATATTTTTCTAATATTCTTGCTCTCGATTGAATCAATTTATAAATTTTATTTGTTTGGGTATGTATATTGGGTATAGGTAAGGTGACGTCTTTATATAGTTGACTAGCTATGTTACTAAGTTGCTCTCCCAACTGCTTAGGTGTTATTAAATGTGGATTGAATCGACCATGATATATATCTGTAATGGTGTCTAGTAACGTACTCTGTAAATTTTTTAGATTATTAAGCATATTACTTCCGATGACAGCTCCTGCGAGCATTTCATTAATTATTGTTATATTTTGAATTTCTGATTGAAATATATTTGTCGATTGATCCAATAAATTAATGTGCTGTTTAATCATTTTGTACTGCTTGCTAATTGTGCTCTCCACGCGCTTAAGAACGTTATTTTCAGCTTCAATTATAGAAGTTTGATTTTTCCAGTATGATGCTAAGTTTAACTGGTTAGTACGAAGTAATGTGATGTCTCTTTTTATATTGTTCTGCGAATTTTGAGTCCAGTACTCCGAACTGGCTATTTGCAAGATAATGAATAAATAAATTTAAAAAAATGTAGATTATATAATAAACTTTAACTTTAATAAACTTAACTTTAATGATAAAATGTGAATTACTTGGTAAATTATTGCAAGTACCTTTTGAAATTTCTCTGCTTTTCTAAAGTACAGGCACGTATTTAGAGATAAAATAACGGAGACAGCTTAAGCAACTGAATGACGTCTTTAATGTAATGTTGGAAATTAAAATGTTGACATCTAAAAGCAAGTAAATTTATTTTCTCGAGTAGCTCCTTTGGAATGCTTTAAGAAACATTATGTCTGCATTCCGGAATAGTTATGACGTCTGTTATAAATGGCGAGCTTAACTCTGTTTATACTCTAGTTAAGTTGGTTAAAACAACTAAGATGTTCAAAACAACAACGCAAGATTAAGTAAGTGTCATGTTTAATTCTTTCTTAACGAGAATAAACGATAATAGAACTAAGATCCATAATTACCTCTTATATATTTTTAATTGTCATAATAAGTTATTTTTTACATTGAATACATTTTAATTTGTTATTATTAATATTAGACTTTTTGTTTCTCATTTATAAAAAAAGGATAAATTTTAATACATTTCTTTAACTATATTATATATGAATATATTTTAAAAACACAACATTTTTACTAATACATAATAGTGATATATTTTTAAACACTATTGATTTTATATGTATTTTTAAAAAGTTTTAACAATTAAGAACTAAACAGCGACAAAACAAATATTATTTTAAACTAGTTATACAAAAAAAATTGTGAGAAATTTTGAGAAATCGACGACTTTAAAACTACTTCCTATTTTCAATACAAATATGTTAAATATCCATACATAGTTAACCCATCTAATGGTCTGTTACTATTGTTTTTGATCAATTTTGGTATAGGGATACATGAAACCCTAGCAAAAGACATAGGCTACCTATTATTCTTATTCCGAAATCCGACCTCGAAATTAGGCTTTATCACGCCTTAGTAGGAGGTTACTGGTTATGCGGTGAGTGGGTCGTGAACAGAAGGCGGGCATCACACTAATTATACTTACGCAAATTGGCAGATGGTGCAGACAACGGTGTCGGACTTATGCGATCTTGAAGATATTTTGCTGCAACGAATTTGCTTTGCTTAGGTCTTATAATATTGTTTATGTTTTTTTTAATTGCATCATTCATCGGGGTTTTTAATTGAATTCGCCCACACAGGTGCTTCATATAGAGCTACAGATTTCACAACATCTAGGTAAAGGCATCGACATGACGATGTGGGCCCTCTCAGGTTGGGGAGTTTACGCCCGAGTGCCGTGGCTGCACCTAGCAATCTCGGCCTCTGGAGATTGAAGTGGGTCTTGAAGGACCAGTGAGAGTAGAAGACAAAGCCTAGGACTCCTCCAACCACTAGCTGAGCCGTCGTTGAGGTGCCATTCGAGGGCCATTGAAACATATGGCCTCCGACTTGAACAAGGCAACCTCGAGACCTAATCTCCTAATAATTTTAACTACCTGGGCAACTCCTGCTGTTGCTAAGAGTGCTGTTTGCCGATACGAAGTTTCACGCGCCGTTACCAGGGTATTATCAGCGTCATAAACGTAAACCGGATACTTGATGGCTCTATCGATCAGGTAGTGCTCGATCGTCTTCCGCAAGTTTTCAGGAACGTCATGGAATCTTGAGGCTTCCCGTATCGTGGCAAAGGGTAAAGTGTTAAAGGCATTGGCGATGTCAAAACACACCGCCAATACCACCTCGCCACGTGACACGGCCTCATTCGTTAAGGTCCTCATTTGCTCAATAGCATCATTAGTGGAAAAATAGTCCAATTGCTCCAAATTCTTGCCACAGACTCGAACAACTTACTGATCTCGTCCAGCAGGACATATGGCCTGGCGAGTCAGGAGATGGCCTTCCTTCCTTAACAGGACCAACTTGTCTGCCTGTGAACACGAAACGTTGGGAGTATGTAGTTTATAATCAAAAATACAAATCGCGTAGTAAATCCGAAAAATATTATTTTCATGTAAATGAATACCCGCGAAAATCTTAGATCTCATTAAATCATATTTCAATCAGCCTGTTAAATCGTAACTCGATCCTTGTCTTGCCAGCCCTAAAACATACATGATTTTGAGTTCACAGACTGAAGTAAAATATTCCATGAATAATTCACATGTCTAATCAGGAAGCGAGTAAGAACACTCATTGTTGCGCGTGTTGAATGAGTGAGGAAATTGGGATGAGAGGATTTCAAAGTCGCTTACAAAACAAAGTATGTATAAATAAATACATATATACCATTTCCAAAAATATAATATTGACTCAAATACCTATACTTATTCACCTGAATGATACTTTTGGATAAAATTGTCAGACATCGGACCTTTAAAAAATAAAGGATTCGCGAAAAGTCTTAAGAGGATTCCTTCAATAACCGGAGGGACTGACGATAATCAAGTACTAGGCATAAGTTAATTCATCACATTTGGAGGCAAAGAGTGTTTGTAATTTATTTATTTTATTTCACGTTTTTTAAAAGAATGTGGTTTATTTACATATGTATCTATATCGTATTGTTTCGACAGAAAATCCATTGTAACAGAAAAAGCCGCATTTTTAATTGCCTTCATTTGACTATTTATTTCATCTAGCTTTGAAGTTTTATAAGCAATTTTTATTCTTATATGTTTATATATATAATATCCGTAGTCATCGTTAAATAGGTAATAAATATTAAAACTTGAAAATAAAAGGTTATTTCTTTAACAGTTTTGAAACAAAAGGAATTAAACAAAAGAAAATATTGAAAAACACTTTTTTTATATTTTTGCTAAGTATTCCGAAAACTTGGACGCATCCATTCATAAACAATAAAACTTTAATTTAATACATATTAAAAACTGTAGAAAT